CTCTCTTTTATTTCTAACCATGGATGAAGTCTGAGATTTGCATTGAGAAAGTTTAACGTACATTTCTGCTATCGGAGATCTTTTCTTGGACTTGTGTTTTTCAGGAGATTTGGGAATTTCTTTCAAATTTGAAGTTCCTTTAAATGAGGATAGTTTATGGTATTGCTTAGTTTTATGTATGTTTCTAAAAGTTGTTGGAGTAGTTTTATCTAATTTAATGTCACACTTTGAATTTTTATCCACGGATCCAAAACTAGTGGCTGAAATAATATGATAAGAAGAGAAAAAACTGTGCGAGCCAGTGCTACTAGTTGTAGTTCCTGATACACTTTCTAACAATGTTCCGCTTTCGGTGAAGGATGAAGTTAGATCGCTAAACGGGCCAATTGAGTTTGGTTGTTTACATGCAAGTTCACCACTGAAATACTCTTTTAAAATCTGTATCTGTTCTTTAATTGGCTTCAGTTCTTTTTCAAACTCTGCTATAGCCACTTCTAATAACCTACTTTCTTGAGCCTGATTTGTAGATTGTTCAAAAGAGCTGGAGACATCGCTATTCGCAAGACTGCTTTTTAAATAGTTTTGCAGTTTTTGTATGATCTTGTCCTCATCAATTTGGCTTTGGAGTGAATCATCATTGCCCTCAAGTTCACTGATGATTTGTTCAAGCTCCGATTTGAGGGTTTCCGACTTCTTGGAGCTTACAGATTTGAAACTGTCTGAAGAATTTGTCGTTTTGATGACTTTTTCTGGTATTAGATCAAAAGATAACAATTCAGGACAAGAATAGTCTATTTTCATTTTTGGATTGATAGTTATATTCGTTTGCACTTCACAGGAAGAATTTCTTTTGCTCAGTTTCCTAAGGAAGTTTCCCAGATTCAGTGCATTTTCAAACTCAGAGTCGCTCATCATATTAATTTTCATTTCACTAAGTGAATCAAAAACAGCCCTTGTGGGATTATCTGCCATTCCCAGAAGTGTTTTCAAATGTTCAAACTCATTCCAAATTCCATCTCCAACCATTTCATCTTCAATTTTACTGTTCAAAGTCACTCTGTTTTTCTCATTTTTACACCTCTCGTTGAAAACGATGGAGTATTTTGAGCTAGGCTTAAAGTTAGATTTTTGTTTATAATAAGCATCAGCACGCTTCTTTATATGTGGGTGAATCCATTTAATGACGTAGAACAGTGCCATACCAATCATATAACTAGCAAATAAAACATGGACCAAATCAGTAATCTTTTGTTGAAATATCTCTTTTGTATTGAATCCAAACATTGTAATTTGAAAAAGTAAAATTAAGTTTTTAGGTTTGATAGAAGATTCAAAATTCACTGAACAACTCAATGGATACCTAAATTTTGTTGTAAGGAATATGTTGTTTATTATTAAATTAATAATAAACATGGGCACAACTTGGAAAATAATGACATATGTTAATTACCTTACTGTTGGTTCAAATCATACCAACTTATGAGAGCCAATAAGGTATGGTATGTTATTTTTTGTACAACGAAATCATATCAATCAAAAAGTGTATCTTCTAAATCCTACTGGGTTTAATTTTACAATAAGCGCTACTTGATGACGATTAAGATTAAAGTGAATTTCAAGTTGCTTTATTGAAATTGTATACAAATAGATATGTAATGAAAGGAAATGTAGGTAGTATATCATACTAAAATGTAATAATATTACTAGGTGTACAAGGCAGCTGTCTGCTTGCAATATTGAGCGGAGCAACCTTATTAATCTAATATTCAATTCAGTCAATGCTAAATACAGTTCATGTAAATGAGATGTCTCCTTGCAGTATATAATCAATGGTACACCTGGTACGTACACATTAATTAGATGTCTACTTGCAGTATCCATAGTCAATGGTAGGCCTACGTTTGGTTCAAGTAAATGGAATGTCTACTTTTAGCATCTAAAGTCAATGGTATTATCTGGTTTGGGTCAATGGGATGACACTTGCAGTATCCAAAGTTAATGGTACGGTACGGTTCACATGAATAAGATGTCTTCTTGCAATGCAATATCTAAAGTAAATGCTAAATCTATAGGCCTACCTTTTCCAATTTTATTTTGGAACAGTTATGTTTATTTAAGAACACATCAATTGTTTTTGAGGTTAGTCAAATATATTTGAGAAAACATCAAAGGAAGTTCAATAAAATTTTTGATATTCAAACAATAGGACAAGATTTTATTTTTAAGTGCACAATTAACCAACTTATTAAGCTAACTGCCTCTTTTTAATGTTTATAAAAATGTACAGTATTGTGTTTGTATGTTTGTCATCCCCAAAAATAATATCTGAGATAACAGAGAAGCCGAATTGAAAATTCGTAAAAATTCAACCGTAGGAGTTAACTTAGCCAACAACCTCATATTCCTTTTGTTTGGAAAGAACAGGAGATTCTAGAAATAGGCTAGGCTAGTAATATAGGCTAATAATGATTTAGAATTTTTTTTTTTTTTTTTAGTAAAGTGAAAAGAATAAATAAATTTAGAATTTTCTTTTTAAAATTTCAAAAGCAGTCTGGGTAAAATTTTTTTTTACAGATTTTTTGATGGGAATTAATTATATAGATTTAGTCAACAATCTAATTTCCTACATAGAAATATATAACATGTTAGGAAAATATTTCTTCTTTGTAAGTTTTGTGGGCGTAACATAATAACAAACGGAGAACCGGAAAAAACTGAAAACCGTACAGTGTTAGTTTGTGTTGTATATTTATACTAATATTGATATTTGCATATTTGTAAAGCTAATGAAGTAAGGAATCCAAAAAAGTCATAAAAGTTTATGGTAAAAATGATTTTTTATTTATAAATAACTTAAAATAATGTTTTTATAATTTAGCGATTTCGTAAAAAGAAAATTCATAGTATTAGTAAAAAACTTTTGTACCAATGTTTTTACTTCAAACCAACATAATCATCTTGTGTAGTGTATTCAATTACATACATAAAAAATGTATAACACGTTAGGTAACAACTTTTGTTTTTAAGTGTTAGGGTCATAATGTACCGTAATATAATAAACGGAAAACCGCAAAAAACAACCGCAAGAAAAATACAACCATTTATAAACACAATTTCACACTATTCAGTAATTCATGTATAATAAAATGCATAAAGATTACTGTTTTATATACACACACACATTTCTCTAGCAATACGAAATAATAACAAATTTAGTAATAAATCGCAGATAACACGAGAGCGAAAACTCACCGGCAACAACACGCAATGGCGAATACAAGGCACTTTGTGTATGAGACCTTGACAGTGAGTGACGCACTTTCGTCATCTTCCTGAGAGAAAACGGAAATAACCCTGAGCGCAGTGCTGCCACTATCACAAGCTACATTTCTTTCCTCGTGCCGCGCCAAAAATTCATTTCATTTCTAATAGTAGTAACATTGTTATATACCTGCTACAGGGTTTGTTTATATAATAAAATGAAAGTTCAGAATGTGATCTTTTGAATGGTATATCTTGTTCACATCAGAGTTGATTATAAGCAGTTTTTGGCCGTTAAAAAAATTTGGCCCATACTATTGTATTACGCTGGTGGCCATTCTAGGCGTCACCATCGAGAGTTATTATACATCGATGGGCGTCACTGCAAACGAGCGTATTACGATCGTTGGCCACTGCTAGGGTTAAACAAATTAAAAAGTAGAAAATAATTTATAAATATGTGGAGAGAATTTTTCACATAGATAATATTTCAATTGGTGAAGATTTCAGTTGTCGTAAATTAGCTATTAAGCATGAACCCCGAATTTTTTTTATTCTCTCCACACTTTTATAAATAATTTTATACTTTTTAGTTCGTTAAAAAACGTGGCAGTATAAAAAGTTGTTTTTATTTATAAATTATTTGTCCATGAATAGAGCCAATGTATCACAATTAGCTTAATGGATTTTTATAGTATTTTTTTTATTTTAATAGACTACACTTCTAGGGCCCTGACAGCTTGTGAAGTCTCTACATGCTATTTTTAATAAGTTTTCTTTTAATAATATGATTGCTTAACTTAAATTTATATAAGCCACGTAGTTCTGTTGGTACTTTATCCAAATTGTGGACATTTATTTATGAGTTAGGTCTGATTAACTTACATTTTTATTGCCTACAGAAGATCTTTAGAAAATGATTAAACTTAAGTTAGGCTACTCTCTTTAGTGTTTTCTTCCCGTTACGAGACACGGGAAAGTATTGGCGGCTAGTCATAATATTATTTGATGTTACCGTAGGTACTTTTAAAATAAGGCGTTCACGAAAGTTTTGCTAAAAAAAGTCACAAGGGACAAGCGGTAACGGGTGTGCAGCTGTGCAAGTAAATTTTGGTTGCCTCACTTAACTGGTGAGACCTAGATGATGTAAATCTACTTTTATTACTACCGTAGGCTACTTCTATTTAACTAGGTATTTTCACAAGCAAAAATGGTATTGTTGTACAACCCGTTGTTCCCAAGGTCCAACGGATAATATGATAAGATAATAAATAATATACTGGTACAAATTATAGATATGATAATAAGAAACATAGGCCTAAGTTAAATTAGGCATAGGGAGTAGACTTTCCTAAGTGGGGCCAAAAACAACCGAATGAAAATAACTTATCATACTATTGATTATGCGATATGATATAAGGCTGCACTTTACTTGACGTCCTACACTCATTCGATTGTTTTTTTTTATTCGATATTTTCATTCGATTGTTTCATTCGATATATCGTTTGGTTAGTTAGGTTAGGTTAACCTTACCTAACTAACCAAACGATATATCGAATGAAGCAATCGATTAATCGATATATCGATCGATATTTTCATTCAAATGAGTGTAGGACGTCAAGTAAAGTGCAGCCTGATATAACTTAGTCCTATCGATTATTTAATTCAGTTAGTTAGGTCCGGTTAACCTAACTAACCAAATTTGAACTTCAAATTCAGTGTTGGGTTGTCGACTTACCTTTTTAGAAGATTTAATTTTTCACAAGTTGGTTTCTCTAACACCTTAACTTCCTTCAATCTGAAATCTCACTTTATAGGCCTACGCTGTCATTAAAGGGATTTCCAATATATGGCCTTAAGTTAGGCCTAGACCTAGGCCTATGCCTATTTTATCATGACAACAAATATAAATGTCCAAGTTGTAAGTTATCCTTCATAAATCATGTCAAGCTGAGCAAGGTAATCTTCAGTTTGATTACTTCTATAAAGTTAATCTGATTTGTAGTCCTATAGGCTAGATTGACTATTCACCAAGTAGTAACTTCAATGTTTGTTTACCTAGTTAAGGTTAGTTGTATTTCACTTTCAACTTTCCAAGTTGTACTTGTGAGATAACTGATTTTATCAAGGCTAACTATTAAGTTTAGGAGATATTACATTAATCTATAACTACACAAAACAATTAATTGTAACCTTTAACTTCTTGCCATCTTTCTGATATTATTCTCTATTATTTATGTTATGTTCTGTTTCCAACCAAACCCAACAAACAGCAAATTAGCCAACAACGACAACACCACTCTGAGAGAGAGTGAGAACTGAACTGAACTGAACTGACTGAAGAACCGAATGACAGAGCATTGAACCATAGGGGCATTAGGGAGTATGCTTAGACTTTCTTCAACGGACTAAGATTGAGTGAGTGAGAGTACTGAGCTGAGGCTGAGTGTGCTGAGACAGTGGCTGAGGCTGACTTGACTTGGGCACTGGCACTGAGCACTGAGCATCTGCATAGATTATAGCGCTAAAGCACTGCTGCTAAAGATATTTTAGAGTATTCATTCATATCTATGAGTTGTACAGTCATTTTAGCTCAGTTGACCATGGTCATTGAGTAGGGTTGCAACATTTTAACATAAAAAAATAAATAAAATAATATGCTACATTAAAAACAACATCGAACTAAAAAACCAAATCAAAGCTTCAAAATTTAACCCAAAAAGAATCACTTCAAGGAAGCAACCTTGACCCCTTCTTTTTATCAAATATAGGGGGCCTATGTCGATTTTTCTTGAAACCCTTCAGAAAGGAATGGATTGTATATTGTATGATTTGTGCCGATGACAAGAGTACTAATCCCTCAAGATCGGACCTTCTTTTAAGTCTTCATCACCCTGCGTTTTAGGGGTAAGGAGTTAAGGACAGGAGGGTATCTCGGGGTCACTATGCGCGCCTTTCTGAAAACATTGTAAACACACGACTACTAAGACACGTCCGTGAATCACCTGCTGCCGAGACAAGTTTTGTAAAAGGTTAGTAGCGCAGTAGCCTCCGACGAAAAATGATACTTTCGTATTTGTCCCCCGTTTCGGTGGCCGTTTTTCAACAGATTTTCTTGAAATTTTGTATCAATGTAGTTGAATAGTTATATTAGAGCTCTTTTTATACCTCAAAAATTGAAAATAAAAATAATTAGTTTTATCAGGGTTTAAAAGTGACTCAATTTATTTACTTTAAGATTTTTTGTAAATACTACTGTATTGATTTTCTTTGATATATCATGTATGAGAGCCCTAGAACTAGCATTAAATCTGTGAGGGGAAAATTTTAACATATTTTCTCAAATTCCTTCTGGAGCGAGGGACGTCCAAGGCTTGTTTGGATTGTTTTCGCAGGGGTGAAGACTCTCTCTCTTCTGCAACCCGAACTCAAACAAAGCTCCAAAAGATAAATAAAACCTAAACAAATCAGACCATACTGTACTACATTTCTAGGAATCCAGATGACAATCTAAAATAGAACTGCCATATATTTAATTACGCATGGATTATCTACACCAAATTTACACCCTTAGAAGAGTAACAACTTTAAAGACTCTGCTATAACCAAAATTGCTTACCACGCTCTTATAGCGAATCACACATGTCTTTAGAGGTATTATTGCCTGGGAATCTGCACAAAATGTGCAGACCTCTCCCAATCAATTTTCGTACTACATAAATAAGCAATAAGAACCATAAATAAGCTCAATTATCATAAGAACGTTACAAACGTTGCTTTAGAAGCATTTTGTTGCAGTAACATCCTTATATCTAATGAAGTAATAACACTCCAACAATAAAATTGGATCCTACATCAAAACGATTTGAAACCCATAACACCAGGAGGAAAAACGACCTAAATCTACCCCAACATAAACTAAATAAAAAACTCCAGAACCCCAACATATGGATGAGGTATAAAATTATACAAATTATTACCAAACCGCCTTGGAAAATATTCAAGATACAAGAAAATTCTCCATTTAACTAAACAATTTATCATGGAACGCCCCTTCCCTACAACTTTTGGAACGAATTGTTGGAAGATCATACCTACAATGGAAGACAATATAAAACAACTAAATAACTGGAAAAAAGTAAAAAGATTAGATTACTCCATTGAACAGCAGTAAGCAGTGATTGTGAGTTGTTGTTAGTACCCATACAGTCAAATAGTAGTACAGTTAGTAAAATAATGGATTTTTGGGCCTATCAATCAAAAATGCTGGTTCGATCCAGAGAAAAGTTAGTAGCTTTTTGATACTGTAGTTTTCATCTGGACCCAGCTCTCCCTGATCATTGGGCTTTTAAAACTAGCCTGGCTACTGAAACTAAAAACAACTCTTATGGTCAGTAACAAAGCTACACACACAGGCAGGTCATCTCACACCATTCTACACTTTGCGATTATATTAATGATAGTTAAAATTAATAGTACCAGGTGATTCAAAATGAATGACCCGGTTTTAACACTTTATAACTTTTATACTACCTATTAAACTTACCGCTATAAAATACACATCAAACGAAAAAAACAACTCAAAGAGATTATGCCTTCCAAGGGCACATTATTTAACTAAATCGATCCAGCAGAACTGTAGATTTAATTGTACAAAGTTAAAAAGTAGTAATCTCCAACTTTTTTACCACTAGAAATTTGGAGGTTGCTTGACGTTTTTGCAAATAACTTTTAAATGGTGAGGAAATCGACCAAAGTGGAAGGCAATATTCCGAAAGAGAATACAATTTCCTACAATCTACTATTATGCATTTCTTGAAAATACTCAATAAATGACGTAGCCTAATTTGCCTTAAAATAAAAAAGTGTGAAATTAAATGTTTGCTATGTCAATTTTTTACATGACATAGTTATGACTTAATAGATACTCACTCTCATGGGGTTAGTTTTCAAATTCCATAGCGCCACCTTAATGGGTTTCAAATTTTCTATGCAATCTGAGAACAACTTGTCTTGAATCCACATGAAATAAACTCATTGACATTTGAAAACTAAGTAGAACTCCCATTTGTATTATGTACCAGATATAGCAAATTTTTATATTATAGTTGAGCGAGTTCCTCGAGTGCGCCACTGTCAAAATAATAAAATTTGTTATCATAAATTTGATTGCATTGATAGTTGGAGCGTTATCATATTTAAATTTACAATAAGCAGGTCTTACAGTTCTACTTAATCATTGGCTTAATTCAACCATCTTCATTTTTATTCCAACACTGGCCTCAGCTTTATCAATGAATACAAGCCCTTTAAGAAGCGCCTTTGTAAAAAATTCTGGAAATATTTAAATTTTTGATAGTTCCTGCGGCGGCCACTAGGTAGACTATAGCGAGCCCGTGGCCAAGTTAGCTGACTGAGTGAGACAAAGAATCTGCTTAGAAAGAAAGAGAGATAGAGTAGCGAGGCTGCCATGTGAGCGATCGTAGCGGCCGTCACGCGAAGCTCATTTAGGCGGCAAAATTCCAGTCTGACTATTCTCCAGAAGCATTTCGCTTCTTAAAGGGTTTGTATTAATTGGCTTTAACAAGAGAATGGGATGTCAACTTTAATCATCTGTCATATGATATTTCCACTTACTAATATTTTGTTTCTCCCAACAGAGTATTATCTGCACAAGACACTACCTCATCTGTACACACCTGTAATATGGTGTTGGAAAAAAACATTTAGAAGAGACAGGAAGAATGACGGACCTAGCAATGACCCTTGATGATATCCATGGCCAGACCAATCCTTGCATTGGTATGCAAACAATTATTGAACTAATTGTGCTAAAGTTTTACATAAAGATAGCTACAGACCGACCCCTGTTTTGTTATTTAACAATAATGGATTTGATTCCGCAGAAATTAAATAAATCACTGATCTCTTAAGAAAATTAATTATTCAAGAAAACATAAAATGTTAAATATTAGATGATAAAAGTGCATCATTGTAAACAAAATCATTCTAATCCAAGCATTACAGAACTGTTCAACACAAAGGAAATTTAACAAAATATAAAAATCTTATTCTTTAATTAGCGGAAATAAATTGTACGTAACAAAATGAAATTCTTAAAGTAAAATGTTAAGACATTAAGCTCCTCTTCTTTTCTGCGTGCTGATATACAGGACATTATTTCCTCTGATGAAGGCATCTCCGTATTTGTTTTTGAGTTGGCCATTGACATACTCCTCCGTCTGATCCAATGCAATGTTCATGTATCCGTCGATGCAAGCCAATACGCCTGCAAAGAAAAATCATCGTTGAAATATTTCAAACTAGGTTTTCCTAGACACGGTAGTGGAACATGAAGTTGGCTCTGTGTAAGTGACTCATTGGGATTAATCAGTGACGTTAAGATTTCCTAGACACAGACTTTATCTCGGAGAGCGAGACAGTCCCTCATTTGTATACTGGGAGAGATGTGGTGAGATCAATAAGTATTTAGATATAGACTTTCTTCTTACAATTAGAAATGGAGGAGTAGCAGGAGTTGACTACTACATTTTGTGGAGGACTGAAACTGAGAAGTGACATATTTAAAACACATATAAATGAGGGAATGTTTCTTTACATGACAAACTTGGATTCAGACATCTTTCTGCACAACATTTTGTATTCTAAATGTATTAAATTGCATAACTATATAATAGAACCTCGAACAAACTCAGAAAGTTGTTTCTCTTTGCAGTGGCGGATATAGAACAGTCACAAGGGGGGGGTTTGGGAAAAATTGGTATAAACTAAGTCTCCAAAATAGCAGTTTTATACCATTAAGATAAGTTAGTGTGACAAATTTTCTTACGCAATGTGTATGCACTACTACTGTATTACATGCAGTAACTGCATGTATATAAAATATATATATATATATATGTGTGTGCCCGAGAGGGGGCAGTCGCCCTCTTCGCCCCCCCCCCCTCCGGATCCGCCACTGTCTCTTTGGAACACACCCTTGTGGTCCGTGGTGCACATAATATACTTAACACTTTTACCGAAAACCCGGCCTAACAGGCCTACAGGAATTTTCACAAACGCTTGTTTGCAACAATGTTTACTTGGGGAATTCCATTCCCCCAATACCTTTCCCCCTTTTCCTCCCCTACCTCTTGATATATTGTTTGTTAATTTTGCTTGGGTGCCGGGACCTTGACAGATCGTCTGTTCATAATATGACCGTCTCAGAA